GGATAACTTTTTAAAATATAAACATACATGAATTTTTTTATTTGGTCCCAAATTCCCACTTTTAGGCAAAAAAAAAATTCCTTTGAGATTGAAAAATGTCAATGCCACATATTAACCTATTTTGAGAAAGGGTGAGATAAAACATTTAAATATTTTTGTTTTAAAACTCCATTGTACAGAGGTCTTAAGGCATGTAAACAGCTCTGATCACAGAAAACACATACAGCTTTGTAAAGGACACAGTATTTGCGGCTGTGTGTAAGAACAGATTTGCCTATGGACCACTTCTCGTGTATAAATATTTATCTTTACCCATCTATTAGTGTGATGTAAAACCTGTTCATTATTTAAAAAATATTTTTGGACTCTGTCTTGATAAACAGAGATGGATTTTCTTCTATATTATTGTCATTGCCTCAGATGTTATTATTCTTGACAAAGCCTCAAATTAGCTTTATGCCAAAGAACTAGAAAGAAATATATAAGTCTTTCCAGAAGTGGTAAAAATTTGCTGTTCAGTGCTCACTGCTTGAGGGCGTGCTCTCTCACACTACACCTATACTGTCGATACTAGACATCAGAGGCACTTGCCATCAGGATGTCTCTTTTCGTCTTTGGGCTCTGGTATAACTGCAGAAAAGTAGCCTGGAACCCCCTCAGTTCTGAATATGTGGTAGAGGGGTAGGCTATGTTCCATCTGGGTTTCAAAAGCACTTACCACGCTTGTAGAATATCACATAATTGTTCGATTTCTTGACTTGTTAATTTTCACAAACATGTGCTACACATCTGATTGATAGATATTTATGAGAAGCTGCCGGATGGGATAGTATTTTCTGCAGTTAATAAGAACTGATTATATGAAGACAAGATGCTATGAATTCTTTTTCTGGAGAAAGAGGGTCTCAAAGAACTGGGGAAATTGGGGGAAGTGAAAAATAGGTTTCTGATTTTTGTGGATAATATAATACAAGCGTTAACTTATAATATGTTGGGTTACAGTAATCTCCTGCTCCTTTCTTTAAAAAATTGATGCATTTTCATTGCACAGATGAAAGGTTTAATAAAATATTTCTCATAATCCCAAATTTACTCTCATTCACTCTCATTCATGGTGTAAATAATTATAAGGTAGGGGATGACTACTCTGCAATATCTATCATTTAAAAAATATGTATCACCTTTGATTGGAAAATTGCACTTCCAAAATGCAGCTTTTAGAAATACTCACAACATTGTACTTAGAAGGACATTCACCTGTGCATGATGTGTGAGGATAAAAATTGCACTCAATCTAAATGTCCATCAACGTGGGGTTGCTAACAAGGTATCAAGCAGCCATGGTAGCAGCACTTGATGGTTGTGTGTTTACCGACCGCCAGCCGTGCAGGAGGGCAACCACTTCAGGAAGGTATTGTTAACATCACATCTTACAAGTTTTGAAAGTTAGATTACAGAGAAAATAAGTAACTTATGAAAGTCACGGAATTAATAATAGTGAAGCTATGATTCAAACCCAAACAAGCCATTTGGCTGCAAAGCCAGAAATTTATCCCACTAATATTAATCTATTTTATATAATATTCATATTAGCCCACTAATAGGTGTGTATTCAAAGAATGAAATAGTTTGGGAGACCATGAAATGAAAAAAGTCTAAGAAATATTAAATATAATTTGGTAAAATCATGTCTATGTACATTAGAATATGGAGAGAAAACTTTGAAAGACTGCTCACCAGGCTGTTTATGTAAAAATGTCTGTGGTGGGAATTTATTTTCTACTTTATATATTTCTTTAATATTGAGATACGTTATAAATAGGTATGATGAAAAACAACAATAAAATATCAACATGTAAGTAGGAGAATCAATGAAAGTAAAAAATTATTTTATCAACATACACAGAATTATTTTCAAGATCTCAAGTGCTGGCAGTCAATTGGCCACTTTTAAACAAAGCATAAGCAAATTATAACACACAGAATTTTCATACTATGGACATTAATTATCACAGTCTGTTTTGAGGGAGGATGGTGTTCCATGATAATGAAAGCTATACCACCAAAACTCTTTTCCTTGTGTAAGCAAGTTTTGCAAGTGACTTGTCTTATAACTGCTGAGTAAAAGCCCTGTTTTATCAATAGAGTTATACATATTTTTATTTCACGTTCTTTATATTAGAACACAAATATTTATTCTTTTAAAGGAAGATTCTCACAACCTTTCTATAATATATAAAAATGCTTCCTACTTCTGCATTTGTAAACTGCTTCCATGGGTGGAGATTGCATCCTGGTTCCTAAAGAGAGGAAAAAAAAAATCTGTGCATTTTATTCTGAAGTTACAAATGATATTGGATACACCACTGTGCTAAACACAGAGTTTGGGCTGGCTCTGGCTTTACTTCTTGCATTTTGGCACTGGAAAAAAAAAATCATGAGAATTACTTTCAAAAATGTTCATCTCAATCTTTGCTTATGGATGTCACATGATTTTAGCAGGTAATAAAGAGCATTCCCGGAAATCAAGGGTGAGTCAAGGAAAATGGCATTTAAAGGAGTAAGTCAGCCAAACAAAAGCTTGACCCACCACCAAGCTCATTGTCAGAGTCACAGCTGCCACATTAACCAATGAGACCGGAAATGGAGGCAGCCAGGAAGTCAGGTGCTGAGGCTGGAAAGACTGTTCCAGGCCCACTGGCAGTTGGCCCTTCAGCTGCTGTACAGCCCCAGTGT